GGAGAGAGAGAATGAGGGAGAGGGAGAGAGAGAGAGTACAGAGAGAGTGTGTGAGAGAGAGTGAGAGTGAGAGAGAGAGAGAGAGAGAGAGAGATTAGTAGAAATGGCCCAGATCTATCATGCTGATTAATGGAGGTGTGTGTGTAGTAAATGCTCCATATGTCAGAACTGCTCTGTTAATGAGCTTCACTTCTGTAATTTCCTCTTTACCTTCACTAACACCTTTTCATTTCCTCCTCCTCCTTGTTTTGCTGCTGTTTTCGCCTCCTCCTCTTTTTGTCCTTTACCCCCCTCCCCCCATTTAAAGGATTGTACAGTAGTATCAGTACTGCATGGATGGCTTTGTGTCTTTGTTTCTCTCTCCATCTCCCTTCTCCCTCTACCTCTCTCTTTCTTTAACTTCCCTCCCTTTCTCACTCATAGTATTCTCTCTCCCTCCCCCCTCCCTCTCTTTTGCCCCTCTCTCTCTTTCTCTCCAAATCTCTACATCCAGCTCTCCCCTACTGACTCTCTTTCACTTGTCTATGTGTATGTTTCTGCATATGTACCTGTGTGTGTGTGCGTGTGTGTGTGTGTGCTCTCACAGATGGTGTGTGAGTGTATAAAGCTGTGCTGGTGTGTACTGCAGCTGCTGATGTCAGCTGAAAGCAGATAGAGGATGTTCAGCACTTCTGTTCTTCAGCACTGAGAGCTGTTCAGCAGACTGACTTTCAGCATAGAGCTTCACTGCCTCCAGCCTGTATCAGCCTCATCTCAGCCTCTTTCACTGAACCCTCAATTCAACTCAATTTGATTCTATACAATTCATTTAAGTTCAGTTCAGTTTCAACTCAAATAAATTCAGTTCTGCTTAAATCCACTTAACTCAGCTCCATTCTGTTCAACTCCATTCAGCTCCTCTCAGTTAAGCTTAACTCAGTTAATTATAATTAATAATTAATTAATATTCAGTTCACCTGAACTCTACTCAGTTTAACTCAACTCCAATCAGTTCAACTCAATTTAACTCCACTGAATTAAACTCAACTCAACTCCATTTAATTCAACCCAACTCTACTCAATTTGACTCAGGTCAGTTCAACGCCACTCAACTACATTCAGTTAGTCAGTTCAACTAACAGTTAAACTCCACTCAGTTCAGTTCAGCTCCACTCAATTTACCACAACTTCGCTCAGTTGAACTCAAGTTCATTCAGTCTCAACTCACTTCCAGTCAGTTGAGCTCTACTCAATTCGACTCAACTCCATTCGGTTCAACTCCACTCAAGTTCAATCAGTTGAACTTAACTTGACTCAATTAAATGTAACTTGACTCAATTGCATTCAGTTTACCTGAACTCCACTCAATTTAATTCAACTCCAACCAATGCAACTTAACCTAATTAAACTCAACTCATCGACATTTATTTCAACCCTACTCAGTTCAACTCAGCTCCTCTCAGTTTAACTTAACTCCTATCAGTTCGTCTCAACGTCTCAACTCAGTGACATTCAATTGAACTCATCTTCATTCAAATCAACTCAACACCATTCAGTTAATTCCACTCAAGTCAACTCAATTCCATTCAGTTTAACTCCATTCAATTCAACTCCAGTCCAGTCAACTCCATTCAAGTTAATCCACTCAATTCAACTCAGCTCCACTCAGTTTTACTTAACTTCATTGTCATTGTCATATAAAAATCATGCCTCATAACTCCATTCAACTCCAGCCTTAAATGGCCTTTACATTATGTAAACATTTCATACCACATGGGACCAAAATTACTTGGACTAAACCTCTTTACATTAATGTTACATGTTCAAAAATGTCTTTCTAGATGTTGTTACAACAGTAGTCGTGCACTTCCATGAATTCCATGAATTCCACAGTTTATTTTTCTCTCTCTCGCTCTCTTATCCTTTCTTTTCTTCTGTCTCTCCCTCTGAGCCATGATCATGCGTGTCCAGTCAGAGGCTCTCCCCTCCCCCCATTTTCCACACACACATGCTCCTATATGCGCCTGCACACACTCCATCCCCCCACAGAGATTACGAGTCAGCAGCTTCCTCTCAACAATGACTGATCACTGATGCCGACGGCGCTTTCTCCCTCTGTCTGCATCTCTCTTTCTCTCTCTCTCTCTCTTTCTCTCTCTCTCTCTCTCTCTCTCTCTCTCTCTCTCTCTCTCTCTCTCTCTCTCTCTCTCTCTCTCTTTCTCTCACTCTCTTTCTGCAGTTATCTGCTGGAACCCACAGAGTCCCGTTGCTCTCGCTGCTCTTTATTAACGCTGATGTGCATGTAAAAATTATCATGCAAATGGGAAAATATTCACACTCACTGCTGGGCTCTGGAGGGAGCTCTGTAATTTCTGGAGTTTGCCAAAGTGAATTCACAAACAGGACTGAACGTTCTGCTAGAATCTTTCCTCCATGACATCACCCCCCACAACCCACGCTCTCGCTCTTCATCATGCATGCAGCTGGTCTCGTCCAGGTGAAAGAAGAAAGCTGCATCCTGCATCTGCTGCTGTATCGAACAAACAGACGAGTGTCTTTATCCAATCAAATCACACAAGCATCCAGAGGCTTTTCATTGAAAATTCATATAAAAATGCAGCGCTGAGGTTTACATCTTTGTTGCTTTTGTGTGGGGGGAACCCTCAGGACCTCCTAGGCCTCGTAGAGAATGATGTGTAATGATTTCTGGGAACTATTTTTTTTTTTTTTATTCATTTAACTGTATCATCATGCTTATTGCATTTAAACCTTGCAATGATTGTATCAATATGCTTATTTTATTGTTACTTTTTGATTGGAAATAAAAAAATAAAGACCCGAGCAAAATTGTCCAATCAGGGCTCTTTTGCCTGTGGTGTCTGGGTAGATACAGCCATGAGCTTTTCCATTGGCTAGACCTTCAGGAGCCAGACAGAAGGCCTTACAGTTTAGAACTGCCAACATACTAAGGAACTGTAAGGAGCCCCGCTGGTAACATCGCATATAAATACAAATAATGTGTGGCCACGCCTTATTAACACGTGGGAACAAGATCCTAATAAGTGGCCATGATTTAGTAAGGTGTGTGAAGGAGGTACTTAAGTTGTGGTCACAGGCATGGGAACAAGATCATGCCTTACTAAGTCATGGCCATGCATTGGGATCTCGCTCCCACACCTTACTAAGTCGTGGCCATGACTTAATTATCTTGTTCCCATGCCTTTCTAAGTCATGGCAACGCATTAGGATCTCGTTCCCATGCCTTACTAAATCGTGGCCACGTGTTAGGATCTCGTTCCCACGCCTTACTAAATCATGGCCACAACTTAATTATCTTGTTCCCACCTTACTAAGTTCCCACGCCCTACTAAGTTTTGGCCATGCATTATTTTTATTTATATAGGATGTCATCAGCCAGGCTCCGTAGAGCTGACAGTGCTGGCCAGAATATGATTTCAGCCAACAATAGATCTAAACAGTGAGTAAATGGGGCTTTTTCCCTCCCCTCACTCATTGAAAACACATTGTTCCTTCACGTCTCCTGGACCTTTAAGGGGCGCTTGCGGGAGACTTTGCATCACCCAGGCAGAAGAGAGGGAGCTTTGTGGATGGGGAACAATGCAGGCCTAGATCAAAGTTCAGCCATTGTCATGCGCTTCAGAGAGGAGAACACCTAGCAGAGTATGTGGAGCACAGTCACAGCACAGGGCCAGAGAGTGACTCATAGCTCGGAGAGAGAGAGAGAGAGAGAGAGAGAGAGAGAGAGAGAGAAATAACCTAGGGAAAGAGAAAGAAGCATAAAGAAAGAGAGAGAGAGAGAGACAGAGAGAGAGAAAGTTGAGAGAGGAAGAGAAGGAGAGAAAGATGAATGGGGAAAACGGGGAAAAAAAGAACGAGAAAGGAGAGAGAGAGAAAATGGGGAGAGAGACAGAGGGGAGAGAAAGAAGGGAGAGATTAAAAGTGAGGAGAGAGAGAGATGGAGAGAGAGAAACGGGAAGAGAGGGCAAAAAGAATGTGAAGACAAAAAGATACAGATAGAGAAAGTGAGAGAAAGGATAAGAAGAGAAAGTGCGTAGAGAGAAAGAGAGAGAGAGATAAAGTGGGAGAGAGAGAGAAATAGCCAAGGGAAAGAGAGTGTGAAAAGAGAAAGATACGTAAAGAGAGAGAAAGTTGAGAGAGGAAGAGAAGGAGAGAAAGATGAATGGGAAGGGCAGAGAGCGAGAGAGAGAATGGGGAAAGAAAGAACGAGAGAGTGACAGAGGGGAGAGAAAATGAGGAGAGAGAAAGTAAGAAAATAGGGAGAGATTTAAAGTCAGAAGAGACAGAGAGAGAGGGAAAGAGAGACAGAGAGAGAGAGAGAGAAGGATGAGACGAGGACTGTGCTGAGTTGAGTTAAGGTTTATGGTGTTTGTGAGCTGCTCCACACATGTCTCAGGGAATTCCACACGTTGGAGAGAAATTGCTCCGTTATGCAGCTTCTACTTTAGTGCACACGCTAACGTGCACAGCTAAGGGCTGCAGTGGGACAGCGAGACATTTGCTGACTCAGACATTTACTTAATTACCAGCATTAGGCTCATATGGAAGGCTCTCCTCCCTCCCTCCTTCCCTCCTCTGTCATCCAGGCTCTGCATGGTGATAGCAGAGATTACCCAGCCTCTTACAACCTGGTTAGTCTCCGCAGATGCTTCACACTTTAGAAATGAAGAGATGGACTGCTACAGACAGTTCCATATGGTGCCCTGCCCCTGCTCCCTGCCCTGTCATACCACCAGCACCAGGCAGGGGGCAGAGACCAATCATGACCTGTGGTCTGGCCTTGACCAGTGTTGGCCTTTTTATTTCATGCCATGTAGAACGTTCAGTGCTGATCCTCTAAAAGATTAACTGAAACTTTGCTGTGTTTGTTAGTGGTCATTAGAGCTGTCGGGTTGCCTCTGCACACTCCAAGTGCCCAGAACAATGGCATTGCTGATGATAACGCTGACAATTTCCCCTGTGTTTTGTTTGTGTGTGCGCAGGTCACTGCCAGGGGCTTCGCTCCATTGTTGCAGTTCGCCTACACAGCCAAGCTGCTGCTCAGCCGCGACAACATCCAGGAAGTGATCCGCTGCGCAGACTTTCTGCGCATGCACAACCTGGAGGACTCCTGCTTCCGATTCCTGGAGGCGCAGCTGCGGAGCGAGGACGATGTTCAAGTGCTCTGCCACAAGGTGGAGGCTGAGAACAACCACTCGGAGGACGAGGGCATGCAAGCCGAGGCACCAGTGGTCAATGCTTCCTGGGATGCTTCGCCGCGACCCTGCCATCGTCCGGACTTCCTAGATGGCCGGGTGGATGCAGGACGGCAGGGCGCTTCGGACTTGCCCCGCTGCCCCAAGTACAGGAAGTACCAGTGGGCCTGCAGCAAGCACAATGACAGCAATGACAACGACAGCTCCTCAAACACCAGTAGTACCTCAGGTTTCCCAAGCACACTGCTGGGTGGGCCGGTCGTGGCGCAGATCAAGCAAGAGCCACGGGGCGAGGATGAACCGGTCCTGTCAGGCAACGAGGGTGACGGCAGGGACAAGGATCTAACTGTGGCCGACATGGAGCTGGACAGTGGCAAGTCGCCCACTTGCCTGCGCGCCCTCTTCAAGCGGGGGTTCCCAGACGCGCCCGATACTTCCCGGCCGCTTTTGGCCGGCCAACTGGCCTGCGCCCAGGGCAAGGCGAGCACTCAGGGAGAGCACAAAAAGGACCACAGGCCGGCCTTCCCCAAAGACGCCAAAGACGGCTTCTCCACGGGCCTGTCGCTGAGGTCAGCATCCTGCGATGGCGTCTGCAAGCAGGACACAGAGCTGGACCGCCGCAGCGTTATCTTCGCGCCTGCCCACTCCTATCCGGGTGGTGGCAACTCGCCTCCGGACAAGGAGCTTCCACCTGAGCACTTGCCCAAGGGCTTGTGGGTTGGAGGGAGCCAGTCGTTACCCAGCTCACAGGCTGCCTACTCCTCCTCCTCAGGCGCCCCCCAGGGTGAGGCAACTCCAGCGCTTCTCCTATGCCGCCAGCGGCCCAATGCCAGCTGTCCTGTGCCCATCAAGGTGTGTCCGCGCTCGCCACCCTCTGAGACCCGCACACGCACCTCCAGCTCCTGCTCCTCCTATTCGTATGCTGAGGATGGCAGCGGTGGCTCACCTTGCAGCTTGCCCCAGTTTGAGTTCTCGTCATCGCCCTGCTCCAGCGTGAGCCGCTGCCTTCCTGCCGACCCACAGGAGTCCGGCACAGGCGCTGATGCGCCACTCTTCGGCCCAGCCAGGCCCAAGATCAAGTGTGAGCGGGCGTACGGCACCAACTCGAGTGACGAGTCCGGCTCCTTCTCAGAAGGGGACAGTGAGTCCTGCCATGTTCAGGAGCAAGGATCAGAAGTAAGTCATCTGTGTTCTCTCACTGTGGCGATTTTAATCTCAGGAGTCTTTATTGTTATCTTGGTATAACATGACTACATAACTGCATAATTCACTGCTCCATGCACCTCCCACGAATGTGTAAACTATTAGCTACTGTCGCATGGCTGAATTTATCCTAAGGCTGTGTTCACACAAAATTGATTATGTTAAAACAAGTGGGCTGAGACCCCCTGAGACGCCATCTGGTGTGGTTTGTTTGAAATATGGACACCAAAGATATCTATATGGCCAGTGATTTTATATGCATATTTAAATACACCATTTACTATATATATTTACAGTGGTTATACTTGGCTCTGCAAAAACCACAACACACTGCCTCCGAAAGCTTATAGCTTTAGAACATTGGTCACCAATCCTGGTCCTGGAGATGTGCCTTCCTGCAGAATCAAGTTTTGACCACAATCTGAAACATCTGCTCCAGCTAATTAACTTCTTCAGAATGCATTCTTTTTGATGCATTTTTTTAGATATGGGGGAGCATATGATACAGATGCATATATAGAATATGAAGATGACATGAATATGACAAGACAAAAGTAAAACAAGGACTTGCTTTCAAGTCGTCAAAGAAATTGGCATTGATATTTTTCCACACCTCCAAAGTTCAGTCTCAGAAGTTGGTTGCATTTGCCTCTGCTTCCAAGTAATCCTAAACACATTCATTGATGTTGAGGTCTGGACTCTAGTGGGGTCACTCCATTATTCTCAGAACACCAGCAGCTTCTTTTCTCAGTAAGGGCTTCTTGGCAACTACGCATCTTTTCAGACTCGTAGCATTCCCACAGTGGAAGGATGGACAGAAACACCTGCAGATTTTTTCAGATCGAAAGCAAAAGTGGAGCTTGATTTTGTTTTCTCTCAAAGATGAAAGGTTTAAGTGCCGTTTATCTGGTGGGGAAAGTTTTGGTGGTCTACCAGGTCTGGCAGGTGGTTGTTAGGAGTCCCCTTTTCTCTGTAGCTTTAAATCATTTTTGATCTCTCTTATGATAGTGGATTATCTTACATCTAATCTCCTAAGAAAGCTCACTAAAAAAGAACAACTTTTGAACAGTACTGTACGTATATGGAGTATGTTACAGCAACGTATAACATGCCTTAGTCCCATTTTAAAACGCACACAATTTTTTTTTTTCCATTTCAGAGCTCAAATGGCAGCGTTCTCACTTAATATTACAAACCACACCAACAGAGCAAGCACAGCAAGGTTCATTTTAATCACACCAAAGAACCCTTAAGGGGTTTGCTGGCAACATATTCTTTATTGTATATTCCATACATACAGATATAATGGGAAAAATAAACAATATGAAATTACAGCACACATTCCTGCAATTCCTTCTAAGAATTAACCTGTCAATAAGTCAGCTATAGCAGCCCAATTGAGGTCAATCACAGGTTAGATTAAGCTCTTGACACGTCTAATCAAGTCAAATCACTGAGCCCTTATTTATCCACAAAATCTCTGTTAGTTCCAACAGTCAGGCGCTGGATCTTGGTCTCGCTGAACAGAATGATTTACCGAAGACCCTCACAGTAATTTACGGTGTGGCAATGAACATAATAATGTATGTACAGAGCACCGGCTCAGGCCTGATTTACGGTTGTATCATTACTCGTCCATGAGCTGCTAGATATTTATCTGCAGTATGAAAGGCAGGTCATGTGATAAGCTAATGGAGCACATTAGCGGGAGTGAACTCGCTTGCTGGTAGTGTAGACTCGTCATGTGACTGAGCCATGCTGAGGAGCAGGCTGAATGAAGCTTGACTCATGTTGACTACGCGCGGCATCACTAATAAGGGGGCGATGGCAAACGGAGCGCTGTGATTGGCCGAGGCCAAGCTGGGCTTCATCCTTCATTCCGGACGTCAGAGAAAGAGATGTACAGGGAAAGAGAGAAAGATCTGTAGTCTTTTGCATAATGTATAGTAGCCCACCAGTACATGAATGACCCATAAAAATTACAATAACAATATTTACCCTCTATATTTAGACCCACCTACTGAACCGTAAATTCCATCTCTGCATATCTGTCCTTATAGTGAGGCCAACAATAATCTGGAGATTACATGCTTGTTTACTCATCTCAAAATGTACGTGGGGGCATGTGTGCTTGTAAGGGTGGGTGCATGTGTGCTTGTAAGGGTGGGTGTTAGGGGGTTTATCAACAATGCATAAATATATCTGTAATTTCCGATGAATGTAACGTGATTTACATAACTTTATTAATATTCATCATATTATGCTGCTTGAATCAATTTGTGGGAAAGTTTAGAACACATTGACACCCTGTACAGTTATAAATACAACAGTTCAAGCTTAGGCAGGCTAATTAGGTATAGATAATATTATGCTATATTATCAATTAATCAATGTTTTTTTTTATATCAATAATAATAAAAAGCCTGAATATTTTTTGTACACAGTTTAAGTGCATTTCCTACATTCAGTCACAGGGAAATTTACACACTCTTTGTCTAATGTTTGTGGAAATATACATAACAAATTTGACATTGTACCCATAAGCTATAGGCCTATTTTAACTATACAAACTGGTGCACACAAGCTATAGACCCATTTCTAGCTATACAGGCCAGTGTACATAAGATATAGATCCATTTTTTAGCTATAAAAACTGGTGCACATAAAATATAGGCCCATTTTTGGGGTATATAAACCAGTGCACATAGACTATAGGCCCATTTTAACTACACAAATGGGTGCACATAAGCTATAGAACCATTTTTAGCTATACAAACTGGTGCACATAAGCTATAGGTCCATTTTAACTATACAAATCCGTGCACACAAGTTACTGGCTCATTTTGACTATACAAACAGTGCACATATGCTATATACCCATTTTTAGCTATACAAATGGGTGCACATAAGCTATAGACCCATTTTTAGCTATACAGACCAGTGCACATAAGATATAGGGCTGTTTTTAGCTATACAAACTGGTGCACATAAAATATAGGCCCATATTTTGGGTATATAAACAAGTGCACATAAACTATAGGCCCATTTTAACTACACAAATGGAAGCACATAAGCTATAATCCCATTTTTTTAACTACACAAAACTTATGCACATAAGCTACTACCACATTTTGTAGCTATACAAACAAGTGCACATATGCTCTAGCCAGTTTTTAGCTATACAAACTCGGGCACATAAGCTATTTGTCCATTTTTAGCTATACAAACTAGTGGACAAGTTGTAGGCCCATTTTGTAGCTATGCAAACAAGTGCACACAGGCTTTAGGGCAATCTTCTATGAGAAGAGACTGTATGTCTATAGGAGGCTAGAGATCTCTTAGGACTGGAGTTCTATGTGGCTTCTGCTTTAAGCTTTCCACACCTCCAAAGTTCAGTCTTAGAAGTTGGTTGCATTTTCTGGTTCTCAGGATCCAAGTAATCCCAAACACATTCAGTGATGTTGAGGGCTGGACTGGTCACTCCACTGTTCTGAGAATGTCAGCAGCTGCTTTGTTCCATTAGCAAATTTTCTTTGTTTATTTTCTTTTCCTAGCAGTGGCTTCTTTACAGCTACACATCCTTTCAGACTCATAGCATTGAGCTTTTTCAGAACTGAAGCAAGAATGGAGCTTGATTTTCTCCCCGCTCTCAAAGCAAAATTATGACAGTCTTGTTTGTTTGTTGTCTTAATGATGATGATAGTAGCAGATCTCTCTGTCTTTCTCTGCCCCTCTCTTTATATCTGTCTCTCTCTCTTGCTCTCTCTCTCTTTATCTCTCTCTCTCTCTCTCTCTCTCTAACTTTGCTGACATGGATGGATAAGCCAATCCTCTCATTCTGCAGTAATCCACCTGGCCAGACAGACTGTGGTTCAATGCTGTTTACTGCGAGGAATCAGCACAACTCCCCACCCCCCCCACCCACACGCAGAAGCGTAGAATAGGGGTTTACCCTCTTGCATTAAAATTTCTGATGAATAAGCGCCGTGCCCGGTGAGGTTTGTGGTTTGGGTTTTCTGTGCTGAGCTGGACTGAGGCGTGGAGGCCAACTGTGAAACCAGAGGCCAAGACAACCGGTCAGGCCCTTCGCTAGAGGAAGAGAGGGACGTGTTTCTGGACAGACAGCGGTGCGTTTCTGTGAAAGAAAGGCAGAGGAGATGAAAAGGAGAGAGAGAGGTTTCACCTCGAACAGCGCGTGGGGGGCTGTGTGAAGGCAACTGGCGCGTTGCCATGGTGATGGGAGCCCGCGGAGATGAGGCAGCTAGTTTTGGCAGTTTGAGTCACAGACGGAGGAAAAATGACCAGTAATATCACATCAATGTATAGAAGGACCCAAACAAAAAAAGACTGTAAAAGCATCAATGGAGCTACTATATACTATACTATACTATACTATACTATAATGTACTATACTATACTATATATATATAATACATTATATTTATATGTAATGATATATATATATATATATATATATATATATATATATATATATATATATATATATAATGACATATAAAATACACACACATATCTACTGTATTATACTATATAGCAGCTCCATTGTTGCAGCTCCATCTGCATTTATTAGCCTCAACACCAGTAGCTACGCGAGCAGTCAGGTTTCTTTACCACAGTGGAGAGAATTGCCCATATAATGTATTTGCGTAATGCATGCTGGGTATTGTAGTGAGAGTACATAATGGACAAAAACACAAAACCGATACAAAATTGCGGATTCTGTTGAACTGGTGAGGCTGAGGGATGCAATGCTGCGCTACAGAATTACATAACACAACACATAACATGTTAAATGCTAGTGTTAGCCCAAAATTGTATTCCTGTCTTTGTTGGACATTTCCATTGCTTTGTGTATGTCTGTAGCAAAATGCTAATGCTAATCCTAATCCTAATACTAATACTACTTAACCCTAACCTTAACCTGAGGTACCAAAGCCAATCATTTAGCTTCT